TGTGTAGCATAGGAGCTATTCCATTTCACAAACGATTTAAAAATTATATCAATATAAAATATATTTACCAATATAATACTAAACGCTTTCGGTAGCTGAGCGGTAATTCTGTAACCTTATAACCCTAAAACTTGGGTTTCAATACCCGGGGAAGGCAGAGCACAGTTAGCCCATTTGTTACAAACGACTATGAACAGAAGTTTGATAGTGCTGCCATCTACTATTAATTTTATAATTAATTGATTTGTCTCTATAATATTTGTAATATTACGTAATTCAAGTCAGTAGATTGTTAAACACCAGTCATTATTAGGTCTAATGTTTATTTTTAAAACAGCATTGTATATCTTGTACCTTACGGATTTTCAAGTGTTAGAAGAGTGTGTAATAATATTGTAAATATAATTAGAGCTTATTTAAAAAAAAGAAAGAGAAAGACATATGAAGCAATTAAACAACAGGTCTGTTTTCAATTTAAAAACAACTACAAAAACAGAAGACATTTGACGATCTTAAGCGGTTATGAACAGCAAAGGGGTATTTTAATCCCAACCGCCAAATTACAAACACGTATATACATTTCACCGATAATTAAAAAACGGACGCGTATCTCCAGGAAGCAAATTTTGTTATGTTCTTTTTTAACCTTAAACCTTGTTTTGTTATTTTCTTATTATTATTTTTCACATACTGTATTAAACATTGTTTGGGTAATGGTTTGTTTCCAATAATGCTCAGAAGAACAGAAATATGGCAGTGTTTTACATACACCTTTAAAGATCAGCTTATGCCATTGTTTAGAAGTAGGGTTAGTTCTTTTACCTAAATAAAAAGGTGTGTTTGTAGGAGAAGGACATAGCGTACATGCAATATGATTGTCTAGTGTGTGTGTGTGTGGGGGGGGGGGAGACCTTTACAACCATCTTCTTTTGTCATCCCGTGTGTTATTTCAATAATGACAATCACACTGCGTTGTTTCTAAGCGAAGGAGACTGAATAAAATATATTGTTGGAAAAAAATGTTCGTGTTTCCATGTGATGGGTACATCCAGGACAATAGAATACTCAGTTTCGCGAGGATTTTTTTCCGTGGAATGCTACCTTTCCTTTTCATTTTAGTGA